GATGTGCTCACAGGCTCGAAAAGGTTGGGGACCCTTAGAGTAGCCCATCAGGGGAGGAGGAAGAGGAGACTGGATTTATACCCTGCCCTTCACTCGGAAGAAGTAGAAGAGATTGGATTTATACCCCGCCCTTCACTTGGGAGTCTCAGAGCGGCTGACAAACTCCTTTCCCTTCCCCTCCCCACAACAGACACCCTGTGAGGTGGGCGGGGCTGAGAGAACTCTGACAGAAACTGCTCTTTTTCAAGGACAGCTGTGCCAGAGCTTGTGACTGACCCAAGGTCACATCAGCAGGTGCAAGTGGAGGAGTGGGGAATCAAACCCGGTTCTCCCAGATTGGAGTCCGCGCACTTAACCACGACACCACACTGACTCTCAGAGTGGCTTACAATCCCTTTCCCCACAACAGACACCATTTGGCAAAGAAGACGGTTGTGTTTTTATTTTGTTGAAGGGCAGTCTCTGGCCCCGGCTCCTGCCAACCTAGCAGTTCGAAAGCAAGAAATTGCAAGTAGATAAACAGGTACCACTTCGGTGGGAAGGTAACGGCGTTCCTCACGTTGCCATGCCGGCCACATGACCACGGAGAAGTCTTCGGCTTGGAAACGGAGATGAGCACCGCCCCCTAGAGTCGGATGCGACTGGCTTTTGAGCACGGGAAACCTTTACCGTTAAGGTGCTAGTGTAATCCCGCTCTTTTCTACTGATTCAGACAGTGAAAGCTCACAAAACCTATCTTGGAAAGCGGTGGGCCTTTTAAAAAAAGAATCCCTGGTGGTTAAGAACGTAAGAGAAGCCAAGGTTGGATCAGGCCAATGGCCCATCCAGTCCAACACTCTGTGTCACACAGTGGCCAAAAATACCAGTGCCATCAGGAGGTCCAGCAGTGGGGCCGGGACAATAGAAGCCCTCCCACTGTCGTCCCCCGGCACCAAGAGTACAGAGCATCCCTTGCCCCAGACCGAGTGTTCCTCTCTATACCTTGTGGCTAATAGCCACTGATGGACCTCTGCTCCATATGCTTATCCAGTTCCCTCTTGAAGCCGTCCGTGCTTGTAGCTGCCACCACCACCTGTGGCAGTGAATTCCAGGTGTTAATCACTCTTTGGTTCAAAGTCCAACGATGCCACTCATTTATCTGGAGTGGAGAGGAGACGGGCAGGGTTGTGTAGCCCAAGCACACCACTCAGAAGAATGTGCCATTAAGTGCCAACCAACTCATGGTGAACCCATCCATGGGGCATTCCAGGTAAGAGACAAGCAGGGGTGGTTTTGCCTTCCTGTCTGTAGCAACCCCTGGTCTTTTCTGGTGGATGACCTGGCTTCTCTTCTAAGCTCTGAGAAAGCTTGGGCTGAGCTGGCCTATTCAGGCTGCCCCTGCAACTCAAAGCGTGAATTATTTAAAGCTGAACACTGAACAATGGAGAGGGGCTGTGGCTCAGTGGTAGAGCCTCTGCTTGGCAGGCAGAAGGTCCCAGGTTCAATCTCCGGCATCCCCAGTTAAAAAAGATCTGGCAGGAAGTGATGTGGAAGGAGGAGATTGGATTTCTACCCCGCCCTTCATGACCCAAAGGAGTCTCAGAGCGGCTTACAAACTCCTTTCCCTTCCCCTCCCCACAACAGACACCCTGTGAGGTAGGTGGGGCTGAGAGAGCTCTTGACAGAAACTGCTTTTTTTCAAGAACAGCTCTTATCAGAACTACGGCTTGCCCAAGGTCATCCAGCCAGGTGCAAGTGGAGGAGTGGGGAATCAAACCTGGTTCTCCCAGATTAGAGAAGGAAAAGAGATTGGATTTATACCCTGCCCTTCACTGCCCAAAGGAGTCTCAGAGCGGCTTACAGACTCCTTCCCCTCCCCCTCCCCACAACAGACACCCTGGGAGGTAAAAGATGAGGAGATTGGATTTATACCCCGCCCTTCACTACCCAAAGGAGTCTCAGAGCGGCTTACAAACTCCCTTCCCTTCCCTTCCCCTCCCCACAACGGACATCCT